TAGACAAAAAATTAAAAATTTTTTTTTTTTTTTTTTTTTTTTTATTTTGAGACGGAGTCTTGCTCTTGTGCCCAGGCTGAGTGCCCTGCCCGCGTCTCAGCTCACCTGCGCAAGCTCCGCCTCCCAGGGCTCACCTGCCATTCTCCTGCCTCAAGCCCTCCCGAGTAGCTGGGACCTACAGGCTGTCGCCCACATCGCCGGCTAATTTTTTTGTTATTTTAGTAGAGACGGCGGTTCACTGCATGTTAGCCAGGATGGTCTCAGATCTCCTGACTCGTGATCCACCCGTCTCGCCTCCCCAAAGTGCTGGATTCCCACAGGCTTGCGCCACCGCGCCCGCCAAAAATTAAAAATTAACAAAAAAAATTTTGTTCTCCAACCCTTGTGTCTCAACCTGTAATCCAGCATTTTGGGAGGTCCGAGGCGGGTGGATCACTTGGAAGGTCAGGAGTTTCCAAACCAGTCCTGCCTACATGGGAAACCCACGGTGTCTGCTAAGACTGTACAAAATTAGTGCCATGCGTGGTGGTGCATGCCTGTGCATGGCCTGCATGCCTACAATGCGGCTCTAACTGTGGGAGGTGAAGGCGCCGAACCGCTTGGAAGAAAAAACCCGGAAGGGGGTTTCACCATGTTGGCCAGGCTAGTCTCGAACTTCTGACCTCAGGTGATCCACCCGCCGTGGCCTCCCAAAGTGCTGGGATTACAGGCATGAGCCACCGAGCCCAGCCAAGACAGTGTGTTACTTTGTTGCCCAGGCCGGTCTTGAACTCCGTGGCTTCATGAGATCACCTGCATCGGCCTCCCAAAGTTCTGAAATTACAGGTGTGAGCCACCACTCCTGGCCATGCTTTTTCCTTTTTTAAATGGCTGTAGAAGATACTCTTGTATGAAACTGTCCTGAATGTGATACTCTTATACTTCTTGGTACATATGTTCAAGGATTTCAGTAGATCAGTTCTTAGATGGAAACTGTGAGTTCATAAACCACGTTCATTTTACTTTGGCACATGGGTTCATATTATCCTCCAAAAAGGCAGTGCTAGTTAGAGTCCCAGCAGCAGTGAATGGGAGTCCCCGTTTCCTCACACCCCTGCCTGCACTGGATAGTACAACCTTTCTAAGTTTTGCTAGACAGAGGGACAAAAAACACATTGTTTTCATGTACACATTTCCCTGAATAGTAGAAAGCTTGAGAACAGGTGCATGCTTTTAAAAAACTTGTTACATAAAAGGGCCAGGCGTGGTGGCTCACGCCTGTAATCTCAGCGGGCAGGTCGCATGAGGTCAGGAGTTCGAGACCAGCCTGGCCAACATGGAGAAACCCCGTCTCTACTAAAAATACAAAAATTAGCCAGGCATGGTGGCACATGCCTGTAATCCCAGCTAATCGGGAGGCTGAGGCAGGAGAATTGCTTGAACCCAGGAGTTGGATGTTGTAGTGAGCCGAGCTTGCACCACTACACTCCAGCCTGGGTGACAGAGCGAGACTCCGTCTCAACAACAACAACAACAAAAACGTATTACATAACAATACTTGTTCATTGTAAAAAACTTTGTTTGTTCATTGTAAAAATACAAACATGTCGGCTGGGCGCAGTAGCTCACGCCTGTAATCCCAGCACTTTGGGAGGCCAAGATGGGCCAATCACCTGAGGTCAGGAGTTCGAGACCAGCCTAACCAACATGGTGAAACCCCATCTCTACTAAAAATACAAAATTAGCCGGACATGGTAGCACATGCCTGTAATCCCAGCGACTTGGGAGACTGAGGCAGAAGAATTGCTTGAACCCAGGAGGTGGAGGTTGCAGTGAGCCGAGATCACGCCATTGCACTCCAGCCTGGGCAACAAGCGGGAAACTCCATCCCCCCAAAAAAAATACAAACATGTCTAAAGAAGAAAAAAAATCAGCCAGGAACAGTGGCTCACGCCTGTAATCCCAGCACTTTGGGAGGCCAAGACAGGCAAATCACCTGAGGTCAGGAGTTCGAGACCAGCCTGGCCAACATGGCAAAACCCTGTCTCTACTAAAAATACAAAAATTACCTGGGTGTGGTGGCGGATTCCTGTAGTCCCAGCTCGGGAGGCTGAGGCAGGAGAATTGCTTGAACCTCAGAGGCGGAGATTGCAGTAAGTGGAGATCGCGCCACTGCACTCCAGCCTGGGCAACAGAGCAAAACTCCATCTCAAAAAAAAAAAGGAAGAAGAAAAAAAATCACCCTTTTTTTTTTTGAGGTGGAGTTTCACTTGTTGCCCAGACTGGAGTGCAGGGGTGCAATCTCTGCTCACTGCAACAACCTCTGCCGCCCAGGTTCAAGTGATTCTCCTGCCTCAGCCTCCTAAGTAGCTGGGATTACAGGCACTCACCACCACACCCAGCTAATTTTTCTTCTTTTTTTTTTTTTTGAGATAGAGTCTCACTCTGTCGCCCAGCCTGGAGTGCAATGGCAAGATCTCAGCTCACTATAACTTCCACCTCCCAGGTTCAAGCAATTCTCCTGCCTTAGCCTCCCAAGTAGCTGGGATTACAGGCATGTGCCACCACACCCAGCTAATTTTTTGGGTTTGTTGTTGTTGTTGTTGTTGGCTCTGTCACCCAGGCTGGAGTGCAGTGGCACGATCTCGGCTCACCGCAACCTCCACCTCCTGGGATCAAGCGATTCTTGTGCCTCAGCATCCAGGGTACCTGGGACTACAGGTGTGCGCCACCACAGCTGGCTAATTTTTGTATTTTTGGTAGAGACAGGGTTTCACCATATTGGCTAGGCTGGTCTCAAACTCCTGACCTCAGGTGATCCACCCACCTTGGCCTCCCAAAGTTCTGGGATTACAGGCGTGAGCCACCACAGCCGGCCATTTTTTGTATTTTTTTTTTTTTTGAGTAGAAACAGGGTTTCACCACGTTGGCCAGGCTGGTCTCAAACTCCTGACCTCAGGTGATCTGCCTCGGCCTCCCAAAGTGCTGGGATTGCAGACATGAGCCACGGCAGCCGGCCTAATTTTTCTATTTTTAGTAGAGATGGGGTTTTGCCATCTTGCCCGGGCTGGTCTCGAACTCCTGACCTCATTGGAGAAGGGTGATCCACCCACCTTGGCCTCCCAAAGTGCTGGGATTACAGGCGTGAGCCACCGCACCTGGCCAGAAATCACCCTTTATTTCAATTCCGTTTTATCCCTGTTGCTGTTATTGGTACATACATTTGCAGATGTCTACTTTTTGTTTCCTTTTTTAATGAAATAGACCACATTCCATGTGACCTGCTTTTTTCTGAACATCTTTCCATCAGGATGCCTACATTCGAATCCTGGCATGATGTGACCAATCAGTTACTCCCATTAGATCTTGGTCTTCTTACCTATGGACTAGGGACAATACACCTGGCCCCACACTACCTTCGTATTGAAGTCTTTGGGAAATAGGAAGTGTTCTACCAACACGAGAAGTGGGATAATTACAGTAATTAACAGTTATATATATTGAAGTCTGCAGTCACGGGATGGGATGACTGATCAGACCTCTCTCACCCTCTGTTCTATAGCTGGTGGGTGCTGGTCAGCTACGGAGTCCTCTTGGTCACCTTGGGAGCCTTCATCTTCGGCCAGACCACAGCCAATGCCATCTTTGTGGATCTCTTGGCATAACCACTGCCTCCCAGGGAACACAAGGCCTTTGCCATTGGTCGCAGGAACCCATCTCTTAGAGCTATGGGGCCATTGTTAGTCCATGATCATTCCAACTGGTGGGATGACATCCGGACATCCTCTTCCAGGGACTGGGGCAAACGCAGGCCCCACACCTCTGGACAGCTCAAACCCAGTCCTCTTCCTGCTCCCCGGTGCTGGCAGTGCTGTGGATGTTGGCAGGAAGTCTCACATCATAGAGGAACCTTCCTCCTCTCCCAGTTCTCAACTTCTCCATGCCTGGAATCCATGGGTGAAGAGAGTCGGTAGATCTCATAAGAAAGAATCCAGTCTGACTTCCTGACTTCCCTCTGGAGAATGACTATGGACAGAAGGCCACCATCCTCCACAGAGCACCCTATCCTGAGTAGGGGCTGTGCTCATTACCCCAGGCCAGTGGTAGCTTCCTCAGGAGCCTGGTCATTTCCAAAGGTAGCACTGAAGTCATACAAATGCATAGTCAGGTAGATTCAGGCCTTGCCCACATCTTCCTGGGCAACCCCCACCATGAACCTATCAGCCTCTTTCCCATAGCTAATGGACATTTCCCAGGCCTTGAGGGGCCTCACCGTGTCTCTTTCACCAAACCTGATGGTCCAGGCTGGGCATCTCTCCTCCTCCATCCCCAGACATCACCAGGTCTATTGTTTACAAACGGTGCCAGCCCGGCTCTGAAGCCAAGGGCCGCCCCGTGCCATGGTGCTGTGAGTATTCCTCTGTTAGCTTTCCCCATAAGGTTGGGGGATATCTGCTTTTCTGTCTGAGATGGGCCCCTCTTTTCAGAGGCCCCAGGGTGGGTGATGGAGAAGGCTGGGAACATTTCAGACCCTCTGTGTGGGCTGGGCTGATCAGAATCAGGGTGTACCTCCCTGACACCTTTTTCAGTGATGTTTTCTCTTCTCCCTGCCTCTCCTCTGCCTCCTCCCCCGCCAGCCCTAGCCTGACTACCCAGAGACAAAAAAAAAATAGGCAGGGCCGGGTGCGGTGGCTCACGCCTGTAATCCCAGCACTTTGGGAGGCCAAGGCGGGCAGATGACTTGAGGTCAGGAGTTCGAGACCAGCCTGGCCAACATGGCGAAACCCCTTCCCTACTAAAAATACAAAAAATTAGCCGGGCATGGTGGCGGGCACCTGTAATCCCAGCTACTACTACACTCAAACCCAGGAGGCAGAGATTGCAGTGAGCTGAGATCGTGCCATTGCACTCCAGCTTGGGCAACAAGAGTGAAACTTCGTCTCAAAAAAACAAAAACAAAAAGGCAGCTGGGTTGTCATCGATGGGCAGCATTTGAGCCTGCCACACTGGCCTGGAAGTTTCCCTTCCAGTCTGGATTTTGTCTGCTCCTTCCCCCTCACCCCGTCACCTCTTCACCTCCCATCCCATTTCACTGTATAGCTCAGTCTCTCCCACGCACATAATTGGGGGCAGAGGGGGGCTCTCTTATCAGCCTCTTCAGCAACACATGTCCATCAGGCCTGGCCTCAGTGGCCAGCCACATTGATGTCACATTGGAATTGTTACCCCAGGCAGGGTGAAGAGATAGGCTGTCTCCCACCCCCCTCCCCACTATATTCTTGTTTTGACCACCTCAGCCCCTCAGCTACCCCCTCTCACTTTGGCCAATCCCAGGCACCAATCAGGCTTCCTCCTCCACCTGGAGCCCCTAGCGTTTCCTTGGCCCTCTTCCCCAAAACCTCTGTACAGGGTATGAGAGGGACCTCCTGCCCAGCCACCCACCACTCAGGGCAGTCCGATCTAAGAAGCAGAAGCTGGTTGGAGGCTGGCCGGGCTTCTGTCCAGTCTCCAGATGGATAAACTGCCTTTTCTCACATCCCCTCTTGGTGCCTGATCTTCTCTGCCCACGGGGCCAGACCCACGGTACTGTTTTCTGTCAGTCTCCGGCACAGCACCAAGCTCTGCCAGCACCAGTCCCTGACAGGGCTAGGAGGACAGCCTGGTCAGCAGGGCTGCAGTCCCCCAGTGCCGTGTTTCGGGGGTTGAGGGATGTAAGTGGAGTCATTGCACAGAGACAGACTAGTCAGGAGAAGGAGCTGGAATCTGGCCTCTTGGCCTAACCTCAGGAGCCCCCTCCCATCCTCTCCCCACTCTCCCTGTCGGGGTACTTCACTGTTTATTTTCTACTTGTGTATACTCGGGAAAGGGAAGATGGTTAATAAAAGGGATTTGTGCTGCTGAGCTGTGTCCCCTGTGTCTGGTTCAGGGGACAGAGTCCGTGCCACTGCCAGGAGGAGGAAGGGCTGGGGTAGGAGGTGTAGATGGCACGTCACTGTCTCTGACCCCTGTCTCCGGAATGGCACCACCATGCTCCCTCTACCAAGCAGGGACCTGCAAGTGGCTCTTGCCACCCCTGCTTTCTTCCACATTCTACCTGTCCTTCTCCAGTGACTTAGGAATGTATCGCAGTCTCCAGTCCTGCGACCTCTGCCTTCACTCAAGCCCTCACTGTGTCTTTCCTGTGCCTTTGTGGTCGCAGACTCTCTCCCTGACTTCAGATCTTGGCAAGAGCTTCAAACTCCTGAGTATCCACCCCCATCTTTTCAGAGGCCTGTGTTGAGCAGGTCCCAGCTGTCTTGATTTTGGAGCCACCAGTCACCATGCTCAGTGCTGGCCAGAAAACCAGCAAAGGTGGTCTGGGTGTGGTGGCTCATGCCTGTAATCCTAGCACTTTGGGAGAACAGGGTGGGGAGATCACCTGAGGTCAGAAGTTCAAGACCAGTCTGGCCAACATGGTGAAACCCTGTCTCTACTAAAAATACAAAAAATAGCCGGGTGTGGTTGTGCATGCCTGTAATCCCAGCTACTTGGGAGACTGAGACAGGAGAATTGCTTGAACCTGGGAGGTAGAGGTTGCGGTGAGCCAAGATTGTGCCATTGCACTCCAGCCTGGACAAGAGTGAAACTGTCTCCAAAAAAAAAAAAAAAAAAGAAAAAAAACCAGCGAAACAGACTCCAGCACTGCTCTCAGCCTAGTTGTGGGAAGACTGATGCTTCCCACAGTGACACAAATATACACTTCCAAACCATGATAAGTGCCAAGGAGCGAAAATACAGTGTGTTAGTCTGGGGTCTCGAAGTTGTCTGGGGAGTCGAGGAAGACTCCCTGGAGGAAGTGATGTTTGAGCTGGCCTGTGACTGATGAGTAGGAATTAGTGAAGAGAGGTGTGGAAACTGCCAAGCAATGGAAACTGCATGTGCAAAGGCCTTGAGCTGGGAGGAATTTGACTTCAGGAACTGAAAAGTGGCCAAGGTAGGCAGACATTGACTGTGTGTTGGGAGGGTCTTAAATGACTCCTCCTTGCCTTTAGGGTCAAGTCTAACCAGCTCATCTCTCACCACACTTCCCCTCTCTGCTCCAGCCACACTCAAGTGAAGGTCAGGCTCCAACTCCTAGTAAAAGTGGGGGACTGACCTTGCAAGGAAGAAATACTTCAGAAGGGCTTGAAGGGTAGGTTGGCTTTGGGCTTTGAGCATTAGGCCTAACTAGGGGGCGAATAACTGGAGGTTGAGTTTCACCTTCTCTGAACAGAAGGAAGGAAAGGATACATCTATGCTAAAGGCATACTCCAGTGCAAACAGCCAAATTCATCCATTCATACACTTCACTGGACATCCTCATCCTGGTGTGACGGGTGGATAATGAGAAATTACTTAATGGATACAACGTCCATTATTTGGGTGATGGAAACACTAAAATCCCAGACTTCACCACTTACGCAACATAGCCATGTAACAAAATGGTATTTGTACTCCTAAAATGTATACAAAATTCTTTTTTTTTTGAGACAGAGTTTCACTCTTGTTTCCCATGCTGTAGCACTCTTGTTGCCCAGGCTGAAGTGCAATGGTGCGATCTTGGCTCACTGCAACCTCCCCCTGCTGGGTTCAAGCGATTCTCCTACCTCAGCCTCCCTAATAGCTGGGATTACAGGCACCCACCACCACACCCGGCAAATTTTTGTATTTTTAGTAGAGATGGGGTTTCAGCATGTTGGTCAGGCTGGTCTCAAACTCCTGACCTCAGGTGATCCACCCACCTCGGCCTCCCAAATTGTTGGGATTACAGGCGTGAGCCACTGTGCCCAGCCTACAGATTTTTTTAAAAAGACATCCCCATCCTAATGTCCCAAATACTCGTAAGCACTTGGTTAATGTCTGTCTCTCCCATTAGACTATAAGCTCTATTAGAGCAGGCCTATGTCTTCTTTACCCACCAGCGCTCGTGCCTGCCATGAGCGCTCAGTAGTTACTGAAAGAATGAATGAATGAATGAATGAATGAATGAATGAATGAATGAATGAATGAATAGCAGCGTTTGTTGAGTTCTTATATTGTGCTGACACTTTACTTGCACAATCATCTGGTCTTCAGATTTCTATGAAGAAGCAAAAGCTAAGAGAAGTTAAATATTTTGCCCACGGTCACACAGGTTATAAGACTGGAGGTAGACGGCACTTTTAACTTACATGAATAGACAAGTGAGCAGGCCAGGTGCAGTGGCTCAGGTCTGTAATTGCAGCACTTTGGGAGGTGGATTGCATAAGACCAGGAGTTCAAGGCCAGCCTGGGCAACATAGTAAGACCCATCTCTACAAAAAAAAATATGAAAAAGCCGGGCACAGTGGCTCACACCTATAATCCCAGCACTTTGGGAGGCTGAGACGGGCGGATCACTTGAGGTCAGAAGTTCGAGACCAGCCTGGCCAACATGGTGAAACCCCATCTCTACTAAAAGTACAAAAATTAGTCAGGCATGGTGGCGGGCGCCTATAATCCCAGCTACTCAGGAGGCTGAGGCAGGAGAATCACTTGAACCCAGGAGGCAAAGGTTGCAGTGAGCCAAGATCGTGCCACTGCACTCCAGCTTCAGCAACAGCGAGACTCTGTCTCAAGAAAAAGAAAAAAAAAACCCATATATATATAGTGCATATCTGTAGTCCTAGCTACTCAGGAGGCTGAGGCAGGAGGATCACTTGAGCCTAGGAGTTTAAGGTTACAGTGAGCTGTGATTGTGTCACTGCTCTCCAGCCTGGATGACAGAGCAAGATCCTGTCTCTCAAAAAAAAAGAAAAGCAATGTACAAATTTAACTTCTTCCCAAGAGGACCCATGTTGGGGTCTCCCTGCCACCTCCTGGGAGTCAGGGTGTTTCTAAAAACTTTTTTTTTTTTTTTTTTTTGAAATGGAGTCTCACTCTGACACCCAGGCTGGAGTGCAGTGGCCCAATCTCGGCTCACTGCAACCTCCGTCTCCCGGGTTCAAGCAATTCTCCTGCCTCAGCCTCCTGAGTAGCTGGAACTACAGGCACACACCACCACGCCCAGCTAATTTTTATATTTTTAGTAGAGACAGGGTTTCACCATGTTGACCAGAATAGTCTTGATCTCTTGACCTCGTGATCCACCCACCTTGGCCTCCCAAAGTGCTGGGATTACAGGCATGAGCCACTGTGCCTGGCCTGTTTCTAAGACTTTAACATGCATACCAGTGCACACAATTATCACAGATCCCCTGGCGGCTCTCCTTCGGCTACAAATTCTGATTCACTAGGTCTGGAGTGGGGCCTGAGGTATACATCGCTAACACTCCCAAAGATGCCAATGCTCTGGTAATCCCTGGGCCACACTTTTGAGTGGCAGGTGCCTCGAGGACAGTGCAAAGTCATTGGCATCAGACAGACCTGACTTGAATCCTAGTGATGCCTCTTAACACTGTGAGAACTCAGGGAGTTACTTCACTTCCCTGAACTTCCATTTCCTCATCTATAAAGCAGGGTAATGATGCCTACTTTGTAGATGCAGACATTACAAATGCAAGGATGATGGCATAATAGTACATATCAAGTGCCTGGCCGACAGCAGTGACTACGTTAGTCTTTTTGCTGAACTAGAAGGAACAGGGAGTGTGTAACAGCCATTTCTTCCTTTGGTCAGTAGAGGTCACCTTTG